CCTCCCGCAGAGCCAAAGCCCGCCGGCACCGCGGCGCGGGGAGGCCCGAGGCCAGGGACGACGAGGACCCGGTCATGGGCTCCGTGGTCTGGGTGAGTGGCCGGGGGGCCCACGGGGGCCGGGCCAGCCCGGCAGGCCTGTTCCAAACCGGGGGCCGGCCCCTGCTCCCCATCCTCCTCTCCCAGAAGCACCCCCAGCCCAGCATGAGCGGCCTCCGGCCCCCGGGCCTGATGCCTGTGCCCCCTCGGCTCTGGGCCCCCAGAGTTGCGGCGCTCTGCTGCTGAGAGAATTGAGGCCGCTTCTCGGGGTGTCCCGGTGGGCGCGCGGCCTCTGGCCCTGCCCTGTGATCCAGGCGCCCCATGTGCTGGGGCCTTTGCGCCCCGCCTGGAGCCCCCTTCCTTCCCGCCTGTCCGGCCTTCCAGCTCCCGTCTCACCCCCGCTGGGGCAGCGCCCAGAGCCCTCCACAGCCCCGGCCATGCCCACCCTCTCGCCGCCGGTCCGGGGACAGAGGCGCCCAGCCCGCTCCCTCCCCCCTGGGGCACCTGGGTGACTTTACGGGGCCCCAGGGACCCTCTTGGCGCCCAGCCCGCTCCCTCCCCCCTGGGGGCACCTGGGCGACTTTATGGGGCCCCAGGGACCCTCTTGGCGGCCAAGCTGTGGGCAGCACCGTGCTGACCCCTCCCACGGCGCCTCGTGCTCCGAGGGTCAGCACTGGACCCGCCACCCAATGACCCACAGCTGCCCGCCCGCCCCGCGGTCCCCAGGGGACCCTGCTCCCTCCTGCCGCCCCCCCAGTCTCCAAAGCAGCGCTGTGGGCCGCTGCTCCAGCGCGCTCGGGGCGCCCGGCACGGAGCGCGTCCACATCTGTGCCTCCCGGCTGTCCCTCGGCATCCTTAGGGATGTGCTGACCGGTCTGGGTGTGGGGTCCACCTTGAGGGGTCCCCTCCTCGCTCCCTTCCATGGCGTGAGGTTCTGCGACTCACAGTCCTCCTGGCTCTGGGCTTGCCGGGGTCTCCCCCCCCCCGCCGGTTTTTTTTCCCGGCTGCCCCAGGATGCCCCCCCCCACGCCGAGCTCCCCAGGTGGCCTGGGCCTCTGAACTGCGGGTCACCGGCAGCCGCCTTCCCGTAGGGGTCTGCTGCTGTGGCGTGAGCCCGTGTCCCCT